GCCCACTCATACCAGTCCTTGCCTAGGACAGAGAGATAGGTTTTCCTCACTGGTTCTCAAAGGACCATGAACTTCAAGTGCCCACCTACCTCCTCCACATGCCAGACCCTTGTTGGGCCTAAGTGAGGATTCCCTGTTGCGTAGGCAGCTGGAGCCTGTTCTAACCAACTGTATAGGGCCCTCAGGACTCAGGTCTCTCCCATCTCACTTACCACAGCCCAGAGCCTCCTTAGCATCAGCATCTCAAATTTTCCTTTCATGCACTGAACCCCCTGATGGCTTCCTCAGTTAATAAACTAAATGCAGCATTTCTTTGCTCAGCCAACTATTTGTTGGTTTTCCTGGGCACGGCTTAATGAGTCTGTGACCTTGGTTGAATCATTGGTCTCGCTGAACTGCTTTGATCAACAGGTGGGAGCATTGACCTTTGATTGAGGGGTTTCATTTGTATTACATGAGACACCACGTGAAGTACCTAATGTCATTCCTCACAGGTGATGAGACCAAGGTTGGCTTCCTTCGTCACCCTCTCAGAGCTGAAAATGGTATTTGCCATAAAGTAGGCACTCCTTGAAAGGAAGAAAGATAAATTAATAATTTTGTCTTTCCCTGAAATAGTCAAAATCACATCCTATAGATTCTGTCTGCAAGGGTAGTTTCCCAAAATATTTGCCTGGGATTCCAGAATTGCAATTTATTCTGATGCTCTTTTATTTTATTTACTTTATTTTTATTTTATTTTTTTTTTATTTTATCAAGCAAACCTAATGTTCTAACCTAGATTTTGCAGTTATTTTCTGAACTAATTATAAATCATTGCAAGTAGTGGAATATTTTCAAGAAAAGCCAGAAGCAGAGCTTTAGCTATTTATTAACTTCTTACTAACTTTCCCATAATTAAATCACACATTTTAAATTGTAGAGAAAAGAAAATACTGTTACTTGCAATGTTAGTATTCTAAATACCCTAAATCCATGTCTACTTTTAATGGCCATTGCTAGTTAACACATATTCCACACATTAGTTTAAACAAGATTTTCCTTGGCTTTCACTGGAAAATTAAATTTCTTTGGGAAGCTAACACTGTCAAGGTTGACAGTCGTAAGAGAATTTTCAGATCAGTTCTTTCTCCAGAGTTTTAGGAACCAAATAAAGATTTCTCGTTGGATTGTTTATAATCCCCAGAAGTAAGACCATGAACCCAGAGACTTTGAGAACATTTTCAGTCTCTGTAATTCCCATTATAATTCTCATTCTACACATTGTAATTTGTGTGTTTAAGTAGAGCATTATGGGATTGTAAAGATGTATAATTTAGGAAATTCACATAGGGCGACCCTTTATCAAAAGGTCTAAAATTGGACCTTCAGATCAGAACTGTAGCTGTATAACACAGATGGACGTCAGCAGAAAAGCCCTTCCCTGTGAGTTGAGGGCACTTCCACGTGCTCCTTACCACCATCAGATTTTTATATCTTACACTACAGTAGACAAAGAGGAGCCATCATGGAGATGTATGTTTTAACCATTTCTATTTTCCTGCACATGGATGGCTTTATGACTCTTCTTTTGATCTCATTGTAATTGAGGAACTTCATAGGTTTCTATAAACTATGGGAGAACTCACCATGGACCTTGGCAATGATTCTTGGCAATGATTCTTCAGAACTGAAGTGTGAAATGTAGCAGAACACGTGAGATCAGGGTTCGTTCTCTCTCCCCGCCTTTGTGAATTACTGCTAATGTGTAATGTGATCTGAGCACATTTCTTGCATTGGCTGCTCTTTTGATATCTGGGAGGAATATCATTAATGAAGTTTTATTCAACATTTATTTTGTATGAATGCTTTCTGTAGGTCTGGCAGATTGTGGACTAAAAAGACTGAGCCGAACCAAAGAAGTTTAGGACAGTTCCTGTTCTATGGTTCTTATGGTAGTAGGAAATAACTATGGATAAAGAAAGATCAAAACCTGAGAATTAACATGCTCTTATTTAATAATAAGTAAGCTAGATAGTAAGTGAAGCAGGCCGGGAGGAGACACTGACCTTGTCCAAAGGAAAGAGCTGCTATCAGTGGCAAAGCATTGTTATGTAAGGTGTGAACTCTCTTTTGGCAGAACTTCCTATTTTCAGATGAGATATGCCTATGTTTAAATGTTGGTGACTTATTTGAACATTCATGAAACACTGGTGGCCAATCAAAAAGCATTTTTAGCATGCCTGTGATCCCAGCAGCTCAGGAGGCTAAGTCAGGAGGGTGGCAAGCTCCAAAGCAACTCAGTGAGACCCTGGCTCTAAATAAAATACAAAATAGAGCTGGGCATGAGCTCAGTGGTTGAGTGCCCACAAGCTCAATCCCCAGTACCAAAATATATATATATATATTTTATTTGCAACCTTAGGATACAGTGAATTTTATGAAAAGTTCAAGTAGAGATTCTTTCCAGGTACAGAATAGCACGGGCAAAGACCACGCCAGTGTTTTGTTTTTTGTTTCTGGTTGTATAAAAGAGATGCCTCCATATTCTTACCATTGTTAAACTGAACTATCATATAATAAATCCCAGACTGTCAAGAGATATGTCACCAGATAAAAGACAGTCCTTAAACACCAGATTCAATTACCTGTTTTTGTGTAATTCAGACTTCTAATAAAGCTTTTTCTACCCTTGGAGTAACACATTTACTAACTGTCATCAATACACTTATCAGTATTTTCCCCTCTAGGAAAAGCTTTCGGTAATTTTTAGAATGCACACTTATTCACGATTTACCCCACTCTCCTGTGCTTGGTAGTTATCCAATTAAACATGGCCTGGGAAACCAGGCTTCATAGTGTGAAAGCACTCTAAATTCTCTAAATAAATCTCTTTTTATCTGGTATAGCATGTGAACATTCTAAAGGCTTTCACATATTGTCTCATGTAGGCCTTTAAGATATTCTAGGACTCACAATTATAAGTTCTATAAAATTGAAAACAGAGCACATTTGTGTAAGGTCAGGCTATTTTCATTCATTTTTCTGTGAATGACTTGAACTCTGTCCTGACAGCATTCCCATGCCTTTGCTGATGTTACTGATTCAGCAGTGCTTTCTCCTTAGCCCAGTTACAGTTCAGGGTTCAAATCTAAAGCCATTTTTCCCTCAGAGTTCTTTATATCTCAAGAAAGACCAAGTTTGTGAGTCTCCTGCTCTGTGTGCATCTACCTCACCTTCCACATCATGTTGCACTCAGGAGAGGCAGAGCTTTTTCATCATGGTACCTGTCAGGCTGGATGAAGCTCTCAGCAAAGGATGACTCTTTGGGAGTGTTGTCATGATCAGAGCATCTCCAAGAGCAAGGAGTTAAGTCAGATACATCAAAGACAGACGCACCTCGATTCGATTCCCATCCAAATCACGTACTAGCTACGTGATAGTGGCAATGTCCTCATCTTTCTTCTAAAGAGTTGATAATAAAACTTGCTTCGTGGGTTTGTTGGGAAGTGTGAGTGGTTGTCTGGAGTCTGCTACAGTGTCTGGCACATAGTGGGTCTGAAATTGAGTGACCCTCATCTCCGTCTCCTTCTTAATCGTTCCTCACAGCATTCTTTTCTGTTCCTGTTCATCTATCTAGATTTTTCCTCCCTAAATCCAATCTTGTAACTCAGTCTGGATTCACAGTCACAGGTGACCGCTAGAAGAGCCAGGCTGTGGAGTCCAATGCATTTGAAGTCAGAGTGTGTTCCTATACCTTCATAGATCTAGGACCATAAGCGACATATTGAGTTACTTGAAACTCGGTATCCTGGTCTCTTAAAAGGGGATGATAAAATGTGTTAAGAAGATTAAATGAGCAGACATGTATAAAACACCCAGAACACTGCCAAACATGGTAAATGTTTGAGTGTTGAATAAATCAAAACCACTATAGAGAATTTGTGAGAGGTTTTAAGCTGAGCCCAGACAGAGAGGTCACTAAAGACTAAAACCAAGAAAGTACCCGAAAATCAGTACTCTCATAAAATGTCAGTGTTGAATTGGAGCATCTTGGTTAAGCTGGGGATATGACATTTTATAGCTCCAAAATTTAGAGGTTTCAAAAGGACAAAGCAAATGCCCAAACCTAAAATTTCAATTCAGTTCCACCTCTGGTCAGTGTCTTTATACATCCCCAGTGTCTTTATACAGCTGATGCAGTAGCTGAAAATAGTTCTGAGGGCTCAGCCTGTGCCCAGAGCATCCTTCTTCACGGGTTCTACTCTACCTCTTTGCAAGTGGACAGGCTGCTTTTCCAAGACATTCCAGAGGGGCTGCACTGGAAGGAACTCCACACTTCCTGGCCCAGCACCCCTAGAGCAGAGGTTGGCAAACTCTTTCTATCAAGGGCCAGATAGGAAAGGGTTCAAATTTGGGAGACTGCATATAGTCCTGGTAGCATATTCTTTGTTGATATTTTAAGTAATCCTTTGAAAATGTAAAAGCCATTCTTAAGGAAAAATAGGCCACAGATGAGAGGGCTCACAGACTGTAATTTGTGGACTCTGCTCTAGACCAAGAGAGGGAAAGGGGGACCTAGGATGCCTTCAAAACCCTGATGCACTGATGCCTTCCCTTAGGGAACAGGAGAAAGCCCCCTCATCAGTTTTATTTATTTATTTTTTTAATCTTAAAGACATTAGGTTAGGTCTTTCCTTCCATGGTACAACTATATGTTCTCGTTGGTTTTTTCAGTCATTTTACGGAGAGACCTCATCACACTGCTGTTTCCCATTGGGAAATGATGAGGCACGGTTTAAAGCAGATGGAGCACAGACTGTAGAAATGAAAAACACAGAAGAAAGAGCTGTGTGAAAGAAATATTTAATCATAACATGAAAAACTCCTAGTGGCAACTTTTCCATTATGTTAAATTTCACTCATTTCTATGCATTCTGAGTATGTGTTTAAAAACAAAGGTTGTAATTTTCCATCTCTGTGCCCATCTACCATGGAGTTTTGATTTTTGTCTTTTGCAGGACTATGACTTGAGCCAACTCCAGCAGCCTGACACAGTGGAGCCTGATGCCATCAAGCCTGTGGGAATCCGGCGGCTGGATGAGAGACCCATCCACGCTGAGCCACAGTATCCAGTCCGATCTGCAGCCCCACACCCTGGGGACATCGGGGACTTCATTAACGAGGTGCAGAAAAAGACTCTCTTTTTATTTTATGCCCATGGTTAGATCTGTGTAGGTCACAGGTTGCTTGGATACTTGTGTAGTTCATTAAAACATATTTAAATTCATTTTTAGGTGGAAGCTAGTATGGCTTCAGTAACAGAGAACGAATTTAATTGCTTTGATCAACCCAAAAGAGATCTGTCAATTGATATTTTGTGTGGGCAAAATGATACTCATATAATTTATTGGTATTAGTCACACTATCTCCAAGAAATACTTTTTCCCTTGACTGCCAAGTAATAAGCTAACAATATTATGGTGTATTATAATTTTATTTATTAGCACTGATAAATGTAGCAGTAGTTCCCTTTAAATGTATCCCTTACTGTATGTACCCTTTGAATTCCACATATGGTGAGAATTCAGTGCCTCCCCAATGGCTCCATTAAAGGAGATTAGTGGAAGAACAGCTAAATTAAATATTATGTAAGTGATTTAAATACTTGCCTAGTTGAGGAGTTTTAAGAGCTTCTGTAAGAGGAAGCTAATTCTCTGTTGAATATAACAGATATGATTTTCATTGTCAAAATTATTATGACACACTTATTTTACTGACCAAGAGTTCTGCTACATTTTATACTTAAGTTTGGAAGTAAAATGATTTATATTGCTTCTTTGGGTTAGAGCTAAATTTTTAATCAAGCATAAATGGCAGTGGTACATATTGATGTTGACTGTGAATGTATGGCAGGAGTCGTGTTCTCTGGCCATATCCTCCAGATCTCCAAGATTTCAATTGATCTTGTTGCATTATAAAATGGAATGCATTGGTTATATGTGGCCTTCTGTCTTGTGCTGATAAACCTTTTATTTCCTGGACCTCCTTGAAGTAATTGTATAAGGTGTAAACGTCTACATGAGGTATTAAGATGCACTTACAGATTGTAGAAAAAGTTTTGAAACATAGTTGGGATATTTAGCTGCCTGTTCATCGATCCATTACTGTCTATTTCTAAAAGTCAGACTGCTTTCTGAACGTATGCATTCACTTCTGTTAAGCAAGCAATAGGTTAATTTGTAGTAGACATGATTAAAAGCAGATGGGAGGCAAAAACAACAGAATACCAGTGACTCCCCTTTTTCTAGAAAAATCTGACCTGACTCTTTCAACTCTTATTTACATACAGACCTGCTTAAATAATTCACCTGAATTTATATATAGTGCTAGATCTTTTAGTACATTTATGAATACCTGATGATTTTATACCTGATTGAACATTCATCATTATGAAAAATTGTTGTTGGGTTTTCTGTGCTTATGGGGTTTTGAGATACAGTGAATCTTTTGACTATAAGTGCAGGAACTGGACTTTTTGAAAACAAGAATTCTGGCTTGAGTGTGATTCAACAAATACTTACTGAATGTTTCTGCCTGTCTCTGGGGTATCAGTATTCTCTGCAACTCAGGCCTGTTCTTGATATTCTTCCTTCTTGGTAATAAAAAATCAAACACTAAGCAATTTATAAAGCAGTTCATAATCCTATTCCTGCCCACTCTTTCCCTCCTTGAATCCCCTTCTGTTCTGCAGCCCCAAAGAGCTGTTTTCATTTCTCCCGAAGCTTCACACTTTTGAACAGACAATAACTTCTGCAAACCCCATACCTTCTTGACCATCTGCAAGACTCCCCTTAGCTGAAAGGAATTAATACAAATGCCCCCTTCTCTGTGAAGCCTTCCTTGATCCCTCCAGGCAAGGCTAAGCTAGCAAGAAGCTTCCTCTGCCTTAACCCACACCCACTGGAATATAACTGTCTCTGTTTCTTTCTCCCACTTTAGTATGTGAGTGCTCTGCAGGACAAGTACTATTTCTTGTTCATGTTTTTATAACCTAAGCATCTAATACACTGCCAAGCTCTTTTGTTGTTCTTAGGAATTTAAGTACTATAAGCAGGTGTATAGGGCATAAAGCTGTGGGCACCATCGAATTTGCATTTGATGGATATTCAGCAGAGACCCAGTCTGGAGCTTTTCACTCTACTGGTGCTGATTACATTCAGAAAACAAGGATATCATTGATTCCAAGTTTGTGTTTTCGTGTGTATGTTCTGTCTGTGTGTGTGAGCATTGATTTTTGTTTTGTTTTGTTTTTTGCACTGACTGCATTTTCCTTAGTAGATAGAAAAGAACATTTAGTTAATAAGATTCAGTGACCCAGCCCTTCTACTGCCACAGCGGATAGAGATACAGTAGGAATTTCTACTTGGAATTTCCTTTCTCTAAAACAATGCTTAGGTTAGGTATCAGTCTAAAATGTGGTTTGCGATCATAACAAATATTTGTGATTTCTCATATGGAAAAACTTGATTCCAAACAATTGGCTATAAGTGAACTTCAGAGTACAATCAGTCATCATTTGAGCATATGTTAAAAAGAGCTCATTTTGAAATCATTTTGAACTCTGTTTAGGATCATCTATTCAGCAAATCACTAATGAATGCCTGCTATGTATAACATAACCGCCAGCAAAGTGTAGCTGAAAGGTAAATGGGACACAGATTCTCTTGTGTATCTTCCCTACTTGGCTATCATCACAGTCTTCATACAGACAGTCCCTGACTTAAGATGATTCCACTTAACAGTGTTTTGACCTGACAGTGGTGAAAAAAGAATGGCAATATTCAATAGAAACCATACTTTTAAGTTTTGAATGTGGCTCTTTTCCCAAGCTAGTTATATGCAGTCATACTCTCTTGCATGCTGCAGCAATACAACCGAGCCCCTATGTTGTACTGTGTTGCTAAGCTACGATGTTTGTAGGTTGCGTTATAAATACATTTTCAACTTAGATCTTTTCAACCAATAGCAGGTTTATTGGAATAAAACCCCAAAGTCCTCTATATAATGCAGACATTCCTGTATGGAGCTTTACTCTGCCAGGAGAAGGAAGCCTGTTGTGTCTGATTCTTACTTGGCTTTCCAACTTCATCTTAGGCCCCTCCCTGACCTGCATCTTGGAGGCCTGCATCAAGAGCTCTACTTATCCTTCAGTCTTGCCTTATAATTCTGTGCTGTTCTTCCTGCCTCAAATCTGCCTGCCTGCTTCTTCAGAAGTTAGTTCCTTTATGTAGTCTTTACCAAGACAGGAAGAGTCAGGAACACGGGATATGGGCTAGACATTATCCAGTGGTAGCCCACCCCACCTCCATTTAGAACACCTGGTTTCCTTTGACCCTTCCTTGAGCTCTTCCTTGCTCCAGAAAGAGGTCCTTATCCTGAGGGAGAGTGTGAGGCACCTTGGTTTGATGAATAAATAAATGAAACAAGGTAATTTGGGAATCATTCCCCAAATGGCAACTAAATCGATGAAACTGAAAGTGATGACAAGACAGAGACAGGTAAAGGAGTAAGAGAACAAAATTCTGTTCCTAGAAATTTCCCTACAATTGGAGACAGGAAGAGGTTAAGGTATCACAGAAAACAACCAAAAAGAAAATTCCAGGCATGTGATGGCTATTTCTGTGGGTCAGTTCAGGGAGATGAAAATTGTTAGAACTCTGAAAGCACCAGGTAGAGTCTTCAATCCAAGACGCCCATTAGGACTTGATCAATATCTTCCATTGACTTAACAGACAAAAATAAATACATGTAAACTTTTAAAACAGTGGAAGGCACCTAGAAAGAACACAAGCGCATTTTGTAAAAACATTGAAAATGCACACAAATTTATTTATCTCCAGGTCTTATTTGATTTAGCAGAGTACCGAATGTTCCAAAGGAAGAATAATGTAGTGGTGATTATAATTGGAGTGCTTTTATAGATGTAAGGAGTAGGAAAGCTCATGAGAACGTTTTCTAATTTGTTTATTTAAATAATGAATGAATGTTGACTTGAATCTCAAAAAGGATAACGCATTTTCAGTCTGGTCGGTAGAGTAAAACAAGTCACATGTTTTTTGGATTTCGGTTGCAGAATTTCATTCTGTTTTGACTTTTCAGACATGACCTTCAGAGGGTGAAAAGTTGAAACACATTCCTTTAATCTCATCCTGACAGTAGATATTAGCATACCTCCAACAACTTTACTAATCCCATATTTTTTTCTTATCTCAGAAGAATAAAAACTGAGTGTATCCTTCTATTAAAGGACATGAAAGTTTCTTCCAGAATAGTTTGCTTGAAACTACTAAAGTTTAAAATGATTGTTTTTTTTTCTCTTATTCATTACATTTAATTTGTCCTCTTTGAAGTATCTCACTCCTATTTTACAGGAATTGGATTTTTGTGTGAATTCAAATCCAACTGCTTCACCAACAGCTCTGTTACCTAGTACAAGGTCAAGATCCTTAAATCTAACCTCTTACATTTCCAATTCTCTTATTTGTAAGATGGTTAATAGTAGACCCTTCTTTTCAGATTGAAATAAGAACTCAATGTGATCATTTATGTAAAATACGAGGTATAGTGCCTGTCATATGGTGAAGTCTCTGAATTATTATAAATGAGAATATATCATAATGAGAATTGTATGTAAATTACTTGGTATGATTAAGACTTTCTACTGTCTCTAATTTCAGATGAAATAGTTTAAATCCTGTCCTTTCAAAAAAATTGCTTTAAACCCAATGAAATTGCCAAAAAAGGGATGGCAATGTTGAACTGAAGAAGTCATAGAATCTCGTACAATAAACATGGTGTTTACCATGATCATCCACATGTATTTTTATAGGTCCACATATATTTCAAACCCAGATACGTGATTTTCCTGAAAGAAGCAAATATAAACATGAACTAGATGTGAAGAGGAAAATACCTAAGCCCAGGTCACCAGTGGAGAGTTATCTCGTAGAATAGCTGCCAAATGCCAGGTGCTGTGTTGGAAAGCAGAGTGTGAGTACAAAACAGCCCCTGCAAAAAGGGATGTCACTATCTAGGAACAATCCAGATACTGTAATAAAAGAAGAAGGGTCCAGAGAGTTCATAGGAGTGACTCCTAGTCATGGTTGGAGAAAAAAAAAAAATC